GGCCGAGTACCTGGTTTATAACTCGCTGACTCCAAAAAACCCGAGAGCCTGTTCGATGAACGAGTCGAACTTACGGGTTTTCGGACACTCGGTCGGTGACTCAAGCGAATGGTTCGCGAACCGATCCCAAGAGCCCGTGCGGCGTTTACTGCGGAAATGCAGTTACGCTGTTAAAAGGAATAAAATAAACGCAGCTCTTTATCATTTATCACAACAGTAAATTATTGCATTTCTGTATAATAAAACTATATGTGTTTCATCAAAGAACAAAAAAAGATATTTATTAACTTTGACGTTTACACAACAACGTATACAAGCTTACTCATGCTCTTTGTATGTGTATGTGTGATTGTATTGGTAATATTTCAGTTGTCGTTAACTGTGATACTCATGCATATGAATTTGGCTTAAGTAAAGAAAGAAGTCGGAAGAAATAAGAACTATATATACACGCGTGTTTATTCAGCATCGACACCCTTTCTGCTTTTTATATATTGTTTTTTTAGTGTTATTCGTTGAGTCATATGGTCAGGGGCGAAAAAAAAAGACGAAAAAAAAGTGAATCATAGAATCGATTTTAGAATCGATTCATTACAACGGACAGTTCGAAAGAATCGAATCAGTTAATTGAGCCGAACTTCCCATCACTAGACAGCAGCCATGCAGTACAATGTAGATTAAATTCAAATTCAATTCAACAATAATAAATAATTAATAATGAAGAATGCTCAATATATTTATAAATAAATATGTTTTGCATTTTTATATTGGGTACATCATTTTGACTTGGCCATTTATAAGTAGCTCGCAAGCTGAAAAAGTGTGGGCACCCCTGCGCTAAGTAATGCGTGAAAACAGTACATGGCCAACAGAGCACAAAGCATTCGTTAATGTAGTATGTATTTTTTGAGACAGAGCTTATACGAGCAAAATAACCACATGATATCATGGTTGATATTGTAACAGTTCAACAGTGGTTTTGAAGGATTTTTTATCACGATATTACGTTTATCCCTATTATTCATTGATCTGGCACGTTTAGCCAAAGAGACTTTCAGTAAGAGGGAGGGTTACAATTTACATATGCTTCCTAGAATTTGAACCCACAACCTTTCATTGTTAGTTCAGTGCTCTACTTGTTGAGCTATACTGTAACTAATAAGTTAATTGTATATCCGGAGGCATTGTAGACATTGTACATGTAACTGTATATTTAATGGGCACTTTTACCCAAGAAGGCATGTAGTAGAGGGAAGAGATACAATTTATGTGTGCATCCTGCGATTTGAATCTCTGACCTCTGCATTATTGGCACAGTGCTCTATCTGTTACAGGAGCTACAGGACAGGTGTTGGCCATGTGCAGGACGCAACCTTCAGTCTTGGTGCTTTAGCTGTATTAGAAGGCATGATGTCTGTGGCAGATGTTAAGCCCATAAGATGAGAAGATACAGTATCTGAAGGTGCCATCATGGGGAGAACTGGTTCTTCCACATGATGGTGTTGTCATATACAGTATGCTGAGCTTTCTGTCTTCTTCACAAAACTGCTCCGACAGCTTTTCTCATTGGTAATCAAGCACTGGTTCCATTCAGTATTTCATGCGATAATTCATACTTCTGTTTTTTCATGTACAACCGCAGTGCTTTCCTGCCTGTAGCCATAGTTGAGTTTTGTCATGAGAAGGCTGTAGCCTTCGGTGAACTTTGCTCTCCAGCTGAGTGGAGATCCTCCAGCACTTGTTGTCTCTGTTTCCGTCATTGGTTCCCTTGCAGCTTGCGCACATGCGAGTAGATAGGGCCACAGCTCTATTCATAGCCCTGTTGTTGTGTTCTGTCTGCTTGTGGTTATCGTAAACTGTCAGAAAAAGAAGGAACTGTGACCCGCTTTGAAAGTATGCAAATTTGGAAGAAAAGTCCATAGCCCGCTGTTCTTCATGGAGGGGGTTATGAAAGTAAGTGATGGACATTTTCAGCTTTGTGACGTGGTTTACTATTTCACAGTAAATGTGCTATAACCTGCAAGTAGTTCATAACAGATTGTTTTTAATGGTGCTGCATTCCCGCCCGGGCTGTGACCTGCACAGTGTTTGGCTTTGGATTAGGACACTTTGCCTGTGATTGGATGGTCGCTGGCTCAAATCCCAGTGTCAGAGAATGTGATGTCACCTTTGGTCCCTCTAGCAAGGTAATCAACCTTCAGTTGCTCCAGGGACTGTCTGATCCTTCTTTCTCCAAAAAAAAATGTTACTTTGGTAAAATGTTACTTCTGATAAAATCTTCTGCTAAATAAATAAAATGCATATGAAAAAGTAAATGCCAGCTTGGCATGAGCTCCTGTACAAATGAAAGTGCAGCATGGCTTCCTCTGTTACAGACCTGGCAATACAAGATATTGGAGGACATCACTCCAATTCATGCTAAAACTTCAGCCATCCCATGTTTCTCCGTGCTACTTCACTCCGCTGATCCTGACTCAAACATGGCCGTTCCTGGAGCCTCATGTTCCAGCTGTAAGGTTCATGACGAAGCACAGGGCCGCATGTTGAGAAATCGACTCCTGGAGTATTTTAGGAATAAATTAGCAGATAAATTATGAAGCAAGAGCCTGCAGGTGATGGTGAACAGTTTTCTTAATTATCGACGTGATACTAGCATATATTTTGAGAACATGACTTCACCAAACTGTCTCAGGTCTGAAAAGGTTACATCTTCTGTTGAATCACCTGATTCTTCTTTATGTCCAGTCTTAAGTAGTATGAACATAATTTGGAGTAAATTAAAAGAATTAAAAAATATTATAGTGAAACTGAATATTTGGTCGCTAGCTGACTGAGTATGAATGAGATTGCTGAAACTGCTTTGGGCACTGTGACCTGAGGCTTAACACGAAGCCAGATTTGTTGGTTAGCGAGAACTTGACAGATTTAACGTAATACCTTAAATCTGACAAGTTACCTTGCTATCCCTAAAATCTAACATTGTTATGCAAGCATCGGAATTAATGACCTCACACTGACCTTGATTGACCACAATTTAATCGAATCAAACGAGGTCATGGGCTCGGAATGGTGAGAAAGAGATCAGAACAGAGAAAGTGGATGCACGATATGTAACTTCGGCAGCTGAAGGATCCATAATAAGCTCTAAACAGGACAGGCAAATCTTACACCCTCTTTGTGGGGCAGTGGTCCAGCAGCTGAGGAAAGCCCTTCACTTCCTGGTAGCAGTACCTACATTTGGCTACCCAAAGAGATGGAGGTTAGCTGGTCAGGTGAGCCTGTGCTCCAGTTCCCTGGGCTGCACTGCACACTCTGTGGTGTATAAAGGCTTGTGTATATATTATCATGATGTACTCTTGGAAATTCACCTACCATCTGCTTCTCAAAGGCACTGCAAAATGGACAAAAGTACCACTGTGCCTAAATTTAACTTTGTACAAATATGTCACGCACAGAAAAGTTGGGCTGGTCTGAACTTCCTTTGACTAACGCCATTATACAGTATTTGTGGGTGTCAGTTACTCATGGAGGTGTTCGGGGGGGGGGGGCACAGGTGGGCAGTGTCGGGGGCCACCTGGCATGCTTTGGCCTCCTGGCTGCCAAGTGGGGCCTCAATAAGTGAGTCCTCATTAAGGAACTGCTCTTGGCTTTTGATACTTAAGTTACTCATTATAGACAATTTATTCCTAAAACCTCTTTGTAAAATATTTCATTTGTCCTTCAAGTGTTTTTCAGCATTTTCACTGCAACAAATGCTGCAATGGCATAAAGACAAGTAATGGTTACTACAGGGATAACGTACAGTAGGGTGACTATTATTATCAAATGTAAATCAAAAGGAATAAAATGATGGTATGCAGTACTGAAGACTGTTGTGTGCTGCCCTTACAAGCTTTGTATCCTTAAACCACGTTGTCCGGTAGGTCGCAAAGGCAGCATCTTGATGCTGTGAGTTTGATATGAATAAATCTTTCTGAGCTAGTATTTACCCAGAAAGGCGATCCAAAGAGTTCCAGTTTGGCCACCTCAGGCTTCCTTCCTGGTTTCTGATGGGGGTCGTTGTCTTTTTGTCCACCTGTGTGTTTGTGTGTGTGTGTGTGTGTGTGTGTGTGTGTGTGTGTGTGTGTGTGTG